AGAGGCACTACGAAAAGAACTCAAACTGGGAGCCGCTTAAGCTTTGGGGCATGCAAAAACTAACAAACGAAAGCGAATCTAATGGGCCACAAACCGAGGCCAAGGAATAGCGGAAAACAGCGAACCAGAATCTGGCATGGTTGGAGCGATTCATTACTCGGCAAATTGTTAAGCACTATAAACTATATAAATTATGACTTTTTAGCCCGATGCCCGAGCACTTGCCATGCATTTCAATTCAACTATTTTCGAAATTTTATTGAATTAGATCTTAGAAAAGTTCGCTTTGTGATTGAGTTGTTGGGAAGCAACAACAACAAACACATACATTGTTGATTATAAATGAGTGATAAGATCTGAATTCAATGTTGAGGATTTCAAAAAGTTTAATTTAGTTCTTAGAAGGAATATATAACCCAAATGTAACTATAGATGATATGAGGATACTTTGCGATATATTTTATTGTTTATATCTCATTTTCTATAGATACAAATATATTTTTAAAATTGTTACCTTTTTTTTTGTGCATTAAATAATATTTCAAATTAAAAAAAAATAAAATTTAAGTTAAATTCTTTAAACATAAATATATGAAAAACCATTATACCCTGATTTCCCATTGAAAATGGGTTCAGGGTATAAAAATCCAAGATGACGCTTAGTAAAATATTTCTGTTTATATTATAGTTTTCTTTTCATCAGTCAAATGGAAAATATAAATATGCTTTCGACAATTTCTAGGTACTATATAGATACGGAAGCAGTTATCGATGTGTAATCTATGTCTATCAGATATGCCTTTCGATTTAAAAACAGAGCTTGGAAGCTGCAACTTTAAGAAAAGTTAAACATCTATTGTATATGAAATATAATAAAATTATTCTCTAAATTCATTATTACTCATCACCTAACAGCATTTTATGCTAAAAACATATTTAGTTTTTATGTAAACATAAAAAATGAGCAACATGAATAAAACAAAGCGAATCTGCATAAATTCTACAAATGTTCATATTAGGTTTGCCTTTTCTAGCAAGTGTGCCCATTAATATCGACATCATCATCATCATCTTTATTATCATCATCATCATTATCAGCGGCAGCAGTAGCAGTAGCATCAGCATTCGATGCACTGCCCTACACATACACTGGCTCTTGTTGTTGTTGTTGTTGTTGCTGCTGTTGATGGTTTATTTTTAAAATTTATAATTTTCAAAAATAACAATTTTTGTGCGACGACAAAAATAATTAAAATCACATGTTTCGCTTGCGGCATAAAATGTTTTTCAGACTGCTTTGCTTTTCCTTTCTCATATATGTATTTATTATTTGTTGTATTTTTTGTTGTTGTTTTGTTTTTATATTTTTTTTCATTCCCATTCTTTTTCGTTTTTCTTTATTTCTCATTTGGGTTCCTTCTCTGGCTTTTCACTTGGCGTTTCGCTTTGCTGGCAGCGCAAAAAGCCGCAGAATTCAAAGCAAAGCAAAGCAAAGTAKTCGACCGTCTACCTACAAATTGATATACATACATACATACACATAAACATAAACATACATATATGTATGAATATGAATATATATAAATATATGTGTATACGTCATGTGTAGTGCATGTTCTGCATGCATTTCATATATCTAAATTTATATGCATTCAAAACTTTCAATGGACTCTGGCTGGGCTTTCATTATAATAATATTTGTTATGGGCAGAGCGAAGGAGTTGCTGTTGCTAAATAGGATGAACAGTCTCATATTTTTAATTCAAAATCAATTTGTCAAATCAAAGGTGTTATATGGTATCAGAAGTAAGAATGATCTTATGCAGTATTTGAAAAAATAACTGCAAACATTCAGAATAATCACTTCTCTTGTTGACAACTATCAAGACCTCTGGCAATCTATCTCAAAAATTCTTATAAGAGCTCTGCACAGACTTCTAAGAGAGACTTTATTTCTCCTTAAATAAAGTTCAATTTGCACAACAGATAAAGACCAAATGCTGAAATTCTATATGTTTAAATATGATCTATCTACTAAAAACTGAAATCCTTTAAGATTCAAAAAGGCGTTTAAATATGCTTTATCTATTAATTTGGCTCAAAGAGTTTTTCTTGTTCATGAAATGAAAAGAGTATAGTATATAAGCATGAAAGCCAATATGACAATTCCATATACTTTTATATGCACAGTCCTTACTCAAGTGAAGCTTCAGAAAGAGAATAATATAAAGGCTTAGCGTATCTATAAGTTATATATGAGTATAAGGAAGACAACTCAAAGCAAATTGGGAAATCTCCAAATTAGTTTTAACTACTAAACTAACTAAATACTGAATACGATGCTATATCGGCTGGTGCACGTTGATTTTTGTTTACAAAGTCCTTAAGCATATGTAATAAATGTAATATAAATTATAAATATACTATTGTTAATTTTTTTTTTATACATCTATGATTCCTAGTAATGTGCAATAGAATTTTTGTTTTTTTGCTCTGCTGCATTTGCGTCTGTGCTTCGCTTTTCACATTAACAATTTTCTCGTTTTTCATTTTTTTGTTGCGCCATGTTCAAATTTTCTTGACTGCGTCATCGACGACATTGTGAATGTGTTTTTGTTTTTGGCTAATACATTGAAAATACCTGCTGCTGCTTCTTCTTCTTCTTCTTCTTCTACTTGTTTGTTATTTATTTGCTTAATCAAATTTAAGCATATAATTTATTTATTTATATACGCGAATAGCGCGTTTGCCTTTTGGCCACGTTCATGAATGAATTGCTGCTGATATACATACATACATATATTTTTGGCTATGACATAAATAGCCAACTATGAGCGAGTGTGTGTGTGTGTGTGTTTGTGTTTAGCATTAATTTAACTTAAATTTAATGCCAAGTGCGAAGAGTTTGATAAAAAAAGGTGAACAAAATATCGAAGATTATTTGCAATTCATGCTTCCATTAAAAAATAGACCTTAAACGTGCCACGCCCACATTGAATTTATTTTTGTCGAGAGGCGACAGTTGCTATCAGTTGGAAAACAGAAAAAAAAAAACAAAAAACAAAAATAAATAAAAACAAAAACTTTATCAGCTCCAAATCAAGATTCGACTTCGTCTCCAAAAGACAACAACAACAACAACATAAAGTGCAGTCACGAGCCAAAAAACACACACCGAAAAATACGCTCGACAAGTAAACGGTATGTGGAACACAGAGACCATCGATCAAAATATAAACAACAACAAATTGTTAACATGCCCACAACGAACTTTATCGGACTGAAAAAAAAATAAGTTTTGTACGCCTCTTTATTTATTTTTGGACTCTCGACTTATGCACGATAGAGACGTATTTTTTCCCAAATACTCTGTAAGCAGTGTTTGTAATGCGGGCATATGGGTGTTGTATTACTGTAGTGGACGGAGACTGGCAGAAGTGTTAAGGATATTGATAGTTCAAGAGCTCTAAGAGGCTCGTTCAGCTTAATAAATGAGAAGCCAAAAGGAATGACTGGAGGAACGCACTTAAATTATAATATAGCTATAACCTATACTATTTCCAATGATATATGCATTATTATATATGTATGTAAGGTATATATGTATGTAAGGCACGCCTGGCACAGAGTATACTCGCAGCCTTATATATCCCACTAAAGAGTTATTTACTGGCTTTTCGAAAGTGCTCGTTCGTTCCACAAGTTCTTAGCGCACTCCAGTGGGGCATGATAGCTGGCTGATATTTGAGGCGTTTTTCAGTGAAAAATAGAAAGTAAAAGCTTATCGAATGCTTATCGAGCGGATGCCACAAACGGGCAAGAAGTCGAAAAAGAGGAAGCAGTCGAGGTAAATGACGAAATTGAACTATAAATAGAACACTTATATGCAGTTGAGTAAATATATCTATACATACATATATTTTTGGCCAAGCACGTGATTTACCGTTGATTAGCAACAACTTGGTTAGAGAGAGTGAGAGGGAGAGAGAGAGTGCGAGTTGTTGACAGTCGATTATTCGATTATCGTTGATCGATTGCTCAGGTGTTTGTTTTTTTTCAATGAGTGAACAAAAATAATATTGATTAAACAACTGGCAGATTTAGTGAATGGGCAGCTATAAAATAATCAGCTTATCAAACGAGGCAACAATGAAGCAAAGCCAGCACATCCGATTTCAAATGAAAACATATATGCTATATGAATTTATATATGAGTGAGTGTGTGTGTGTATAGAAATAGTTCTATTAAGTGGAACTATTTGTACAAACTGTTTTTCGCTTGGCTCTCGTATTAACATGAATTCCTAATCTTTATTATATATGCCCCGCGCATTATCTGTCTGGCGGATCGGTAAATAGAAAAGCGACGCGACGCGCCGCGCCGCATCGAGACAAACAAAACAACTGCAAAGTCAGTTAAACATTTCTATATGAAATACCCTAGTTATATAGAGGTTTTCAAAGGGTATATGGCATACAGAGGTATAAAATTATTTGATTATTTTTAATTTGAGGGAAGAAGCAAAATTATTTATGAAAAGTCCCATAAAATGTGACTAAACAGTATTATTTATGGCAAATCTCTCCCATAAATAATCCACTATATGCACAGATCAAGCACAAAATATATGTATATATATGATTTATTATGGCAACAAATTTTTTTCAGATTTCCGGCAAATTGAAATCTCTACAAATATGTAAGTAAACAATTTCCTGCAACAATTTCTAAACACATTTCACATTCTTCCTGTTGTTGTTTACTATACGAAATACTATGTTATATACTACATACATACGTACATACATGTATGTATGTACATCAGTATGTATATATTCATTTATAGACATAAATTAACATTTGCATTTGTCACGAATCGCTTGCGGCAATTGGTAATTGTGCATTTCCTGATATCTGAGATGAAGGTTAAACAATTCAAAAACAGAAACAGAAGCAGAAACAGAAACAGAAGAGAGAAATATTTCCCAACTCAACTTACATTGATTTTCAAAAGCAATCCGTTTAAATCCAATATATTGAAATGTTGTAATATATTTATATACGTATATATATATAATATATATAAGAGATATATCCAATTAATGCTGTGCTCGTAGACTCGTATAATCCAAAGTTTCGYTCGCTTCGATTTGGCCTTTATTTCAACTACACGCGATCGCGTTCATACATACAAATATACAGATGTATGTATGTATGTATTTGTGTGTGTGTTTGGTTGGGTGTGTGTGTGTGTATTTCTATATACAAATAGACGAGCGTAGATTTGCTTGCGTTATTTATTTAGCATTTATGTACATATTAAAAAATATATTTTTTATTCGCTTTGTTTGGTTTTTTCGCATTTCATTCACAAAAGTAAATTTAATTAACACAAAACGCAGCGTTGACAGCGACGTTGACGGCGACGACGGCAGCGACAGCGACGCTGGCAGCACAGGCGACTGTTACAGGTTTGCGTGCCAAAAATATAATAATATTAATAATAATAATAATAAATGAACGTTTGCGACGGCAGCAGCGACCACGACGAAGACGAAGGCGACGGCGACGGCAAAGACGGCGACGTTTACGTTGACGTTGACGTTGACAGCGACTGCGGCTCACACACACACATGTACACTGGCACGCACACACACATGCTCACACGCACGCACACTTAGACGGGGGCCACGTCGACGACTGCAGCTGTGTGAGTGTCGCTTTTGTATCTGTGTAACTGTGTGCGCTACGACAAACACACTACAGTAAAAAAATATTTTTATGCAATTTTATATAGACAAATTTCATGTGTCGTTGTTGTTGTTGATGTTGATGTTGCTGCTGTTGGTGTTGTTGTTGGTGGTGGTGCTGTTGTTGTTGTAATTGTTGTTGCTGCTGCTGCTGCTTTGGCTGTTGTTTTATTTTTCGCTTAACACGTTTTGTATTTGAATTGAATTTTTGTTGTGTTTTTTTCGCTAGATATTTTTGCCGTGCTCGTTGTTGTTGTTGTTGTTGGTGCTGTTGTTGTTGTAATTGTTGTTGCTGCTGCTGCTGCTTTGGCTGTTGTTTTATTTTTCGCTTAACACGTTTTGTATTTGAATTGAATTTTTGTTGTGTTTTTTTCGCTAGATATTTTTGCCGTGCTCGTTGTTGTTGTTGTTGTTGGACTTTTAAATAGACGTCGATTTTCTTTGCGCAATTTACATTTTTAGGCACATGATTTCCATTGGAAGCAATTTGTAATTCCAAAATAGATTTTTGATTGCGATTGCAATTCATTTATCAAATACAAACATTTCAAAAACTCACTATACTTTGCACAAATTTCATTGAATTATATTTCATTTATATTTTGTTGCGCTTAATTTGAACTTGATTATTGCTCTTGTTACTGGTCGTCGTTCGAATTGTTGTTAAATTGTTTAAAGTGAATGTTTAATATGCCAGGCTAAAAAAAAATTATACTCTTCGCGGCAGCCGCTCTGCTCAGCTCCGTTCACGTTGCACTGTGTACACGCTCAAAGTTTTTGAAGCGAAATGAATGCCGAGTTCGACGCGACGTACTGGCAACCGTTTGCTTTTTGTCAACGGCGAATACATTTCATTCTGAAATTGTATTTGCGGCGAAAAGAGCGCGCTGAGAGCGCAGCTGTGTGAGTGAGCTGAGTACCCAGTCGGACGTGAGCGCATGAGAAATGAAGTGCCACTCACTGAATTTTACAGTGACAGTAGGTTTTGGAATGGTAATAATCGTGGTACTATACAATTTTATTTATGTATTGGAATGAAAATAACGTAATGTTCTTTTATGTTAAGTGTTAGTTAGTGAAGAGACGATATTTTAAATTGATGTAGTTATATTTCGTGATTCTTCACTAATGAAATTTTTAATGAGTGCCATAGTTTTATTCGAATTTTATTACAATATATAACATGTTAAAATGAAATGTTATAGAATACCTAAGTCTATATAAAAATTCCGTTAAATGCTCAACTCACAAATGCAGTCTTTCAAAAACACGTTTCGCTAAATCCGACTGGTATTATATGAAATGCATACATATAGATTTGTGTATGTGTGTTTGCTTGTGTATCTCGCCATATACTTGATCATTCACGAGAGCGAGAGCGAAATCGCTCTTTGACTCAATGAATTCGCTGCGCTCACGCTGTTCGAGTGACTACAAAACAATTTTGAACTACACAGCATTTGTAAGGCGACAACACATGGTCGGCCTTTCTTAACCCCCCCGCCATCAGCTAGCGCCCTTGTTCCACATGCAGCGACTACAGGCCTCAAAAGCGCACGAAGCCTATGCTATAAGCGACGACGACGACGACGACGGCAGCGACGGCGACGAATTTTCGTACTAAAAACCAACCGGACGTTGCCGCCACCGCCGTTGCCCGTTGCTCGACGCTCGATGCCCGCGAGCGGCAACCGACGCCAACATAAGCTTTGGGGCTGTGAAGCTTTGTCGGTGTGCGTGTGTGTGTTTGTGTTTTTGTGTGTGTGTGTCTGTGAGTGTTGGGGGCTTTGCAGTGTTGCTGTTGTTGTTTTAAAAAAAACGGAAATTGAAAATATGCCAACTTGTAGGCGCGCTCGCTCGCCGCGTTGCCGCTGCCGTTGCCGTTGCCGCTGCTGATGACGGCTCTGCTTTTCGGTTTGCTGCGGTGCAGTGCGGGGGGCTTGTGGACTTGCGACAAATTCATGCCAGTTTTTTTTTTCATTCATTTAAATTTACAAAGCAAACAGCGCGCAAACAAGCTGTACGAACAGCAGCGGCAGCAGCAGCAGCAGCCGCCCCCTGCAGAGCCCCCCTCGCACGTTTTCTGCCTACGCGAAGAATTCACCACAGCAGAGTGATTCGAATTCCAAAACCGAAAACAGAAAACAGAAAACCAAAAACAATTTCAGTTTCAATCACTCCAGTCTCAAATCTCAAATTATATTTGCCCCACTAAAAAAAACGAATGTTATTGAGTGAGTTTTTATTTAATAATGAATCTCATCTAGTTGCATATTTTCACCAAATATGTTTTTTTTTCTTCGCTGGGCCATAAAAAATCAGCCTCAATGAGCGTTGAATCTGTCTGTTTCGCGTTGGCTGCCAATATGAATGAAAAATACGCACACACCGAGGCGAAAGTAGCTACAAAACCGCGGCGATGTTGTCTATGCATGAATAGCTGCAGCTGCCAAGTGTGTGTGTGTGTGTGTGAGTGAATGTGTTGGTGTGTGTCTGTTGTCTGTCTGTTTGTATGTGTGTGCATATATTCATGTGTATGTGTATGCGAGTGAGTATCTGTATCTGAATGTTGCATGAGGTAAGCATACACTGTTGTTGTTGCTGCTGTCGTGCCAGTGTGGTGTGAGTAGAAAAAGTTAACAACAGGCGAGCCCATGTCTCAAACCATTCACCTGGACAAACAATGAAAAATTATTGTTTGTGCCATATCAAATGCCACGTATACATGCATATGTATATATCTATATCTATCGTTATGAAATTGTTCTATCAATAAATCAATATGTATGACATTTAGTATTTCTAGTATATTTCCAAACAATTCTATTCACTTGATTTTCAGATCGTCGTCCGAAACGCACTCAAGTTGTGAGCAAGTAAACGCGCTCCAGTGTGAATGATCTTGAAAGGCAAACACATCAGCGACTGGTTCAACGTTGTCTGTCTGGCTGGCTGGCTTGCTGGTCTTTGGTTAGGCTGCTGTCGTTGTTGTTGTTGTTGTTGTTGTTATTGCTGTTGCTGTTGATGTTCGGCAGAGTTGCCGAGTGCTTCGCGCAGTCAGTGTCAAAAGAAAAATACACGACTCTGCGGCGCGTTGGCAACTGTGCGCAGCGACTTTAAAATAAAATCTCAAAACCAGTAGCACTTTTCTTGGCTTCAACATAAAAAAGTGCGCGGCAACAACAACAGCAACGTCGACAGCGACGTGCGTTGAAAATAACAGCAAAAACAACAAAGACAAAAAGTTAAAGCGAGCGTGAAGAGTGGTTTGTTGTCTAATAAGCCAAGCCTCAAAACGGGGGAGATAGCAAGCAAATCGGATCGACTATAGATAACAACTAAATGAAAAAAAAATAAATATATACATATTATTTATATATATGTATGTATGTATGTACATATAGAAAGAAACAAGCAAGCTTGGAAGACAGACTATTGGGTGCCAAGGCAGAGATTAGCATGAACTTTCCAGTTCAGAAGGAAGCGAAACACAGATATATATACATACATACATACATACACATATATTTACATATATATTTACTATATGGCATAGTATCAAAATGGCTTGCCAAACGCATACATTAATACAAATCGTATGTATTTCAGTATGTAACACACACACACACACACAAACACGCACAGCAGACAGCAGTCGACACTCGAAACTTCCTCTCCAATGCCACAAAACTCAACTCGTTTCAGAGAGCGAAAAACAACAGCGACAGCGAAAGCGAATTCCAAAAGAGTCAGGCCGTGTCGAGCGAATTGAGTTTGAGTGAAAGAGCGCCACGCGGCGAATTCACTTAGCTCGCTCACTCACTCGCCAGAGTCGTTTTTATGAATGAAACCGTTTATAATGAATGGAGGCCTGCGCTGCCAGCAACGCTGCCCCGCTGCCTGCGTCGCTGTCATCGTCATGTGCGCTTGCAAAGAAAAAAATTTTGTGTTTTTTTCTTTTTTTTCACTTTTGTATTATTTAAAATTGTTTTATTTTTCTGTTTTGTTGCTGTTGCTGTTGATGTTTTCCTTGACTATTTTATTTAATGTCTTGTATATAAACATGTGTACATGTATTAATTGTGTTTATTTCAGTTCTTCATTTTATGGATCCATGTAAATTGTTTACGCTTATTTTCGGGTAAATTGCACATAACTTGCACAGTTAATTCGTGAACAATGCTCAAACTCTGACAGACGCGCTGTCGCCCTCAGTTTAAACAGACAGCAGCAGCAATCGAGTTAAGAGCTACTTAGTAGTACGAGAGGCGCATTAAAACACTGTTTTTTATTATCGAAATACTCTTTTGAATAAATACAAACTCATTGTATCTGTATATGTGTGTGTTTATTGTGTTTTTGGGCATAATGAAAACTGCGACAGTTTTTGGTTGTTGCCCACATTTGCTGCCGAACGTGGGCGGACACGCATAGTAGGCTGAATATCAAATTGACATACATACATATACCTATATATATATATTTATACATATATATATGTGCGTGTAGACACAGTTTGTTAGTTGCGTTCTTACCCACACTTAAAGTTTTAGACAGCAAATTCAGCTTGGGGGTTTTTCCCCAAAACGATTTCATTCCAGCTGCCCTAAATGGCAAAAAAATATTTGTTAACTGCCAAATTAGCACAGTTAGGCACGTAGAAGACGATAATGAAGAAATTAGATATAACATAATTTCGTTTAAATAGTGTCGTTATATATATATGAATTTGTCATACATACATACCTATGTATGACAGATTTAGTTGTTATACAGGTGCGAGCGACGGCAATTCAGTTTGACTATGTGCATGG